GTGTACTCGCTATTTCCCAAAACTATGAAATGGGCTTAATGTTGTATTAGTAATCAATCCTTGCATCCTCTGTATTCATCAAGCTTATAACTTGCCTTTTTTTTAAAAAAAAAAAAATGTTTTTCCAGGCACTGTATATGGTACATGAACAATTATTTTATTCCTGTTAATTAATAAGGAAAATCTTTAAAATGCAAAACTGCTCTGAGAATATGGAGAGCAGATTCTTTGGGGCTCAGTAGGATAGCACTTATATGGTATTATAAATATCTATCTTCTGCTATAAATTTGCAGAACCCCTTCTCCCTCCAGTTTTCCTTTAGTGTGGAATGGAGCGAGGAGCTTTCTCCCGTTGCTCTAAAAATGTTACATCTAGTGTTACCATTTTCGCCTCTTGATGACTGCATTTATCTTTATAAGTATCCAGTAGCTAGCTCTTAGCCAAAACTAAGTGTAAGTTCACCTTCTGTGTCAGAGAATCTGTTGAGCCTTATCATAATAAACTCCTTCATGTTCAAGGGAAGCTACTACAAGTTAATTCTGGTGCCAAAGAACAATTCTTCTTTGAAGCTCCAAGAGGAAAGAGGCATATAATAAGACCCACAGAGGTAGGGAAAAATAATATAAACTTCTGTATTTTATATGTTATTTCACTGCTGTCTGTTAGAAAAAGACCGGTCTGATGTCTAGTGTGGTATATTGAATTTCCTGCTTGGCACACTTTCTAAAGTCTGATAAAGGTTCTGTTTCATGCAATAACCAAACATATTTACATGAATACAGGTTTCTGTATAGATGAGCTAAAGAACTCTTCCTTTTTTCACCATAATGCATCCATTTTATAACATCATGACTTTCTTCCAACTAAGCATAATTACAGTAATCTGTAATGATCATTCAAGGCATAGGCAGTATTTTAGAACAATAAGTACATTTGAATATTGAAAGCATACTATAGGAATGGCTACCATAGACAGGGTGTCAATTCACAAAAATAACTGACTTGTTGAATGGGATCCATCACAAAACACCTATTACAAAAAGGGAACTGGTAAGACTTCCTTTTTTTTCCTTAGGCACTCTTCCAAACCAAACACTGAGTGGCATGCATTTGCCATTTTCATTTTCTAAAAATGCATGTGAAGTCCAAAGGCGTTATTAAAAAAGAAATTATGAAATCATACTAAAGTTCGACACTTCATTTTACTGTATCATATTATATTTTTTAACCCAGGTAACGCAGAGAACCTAGCAGATGCCAAGGGATATGTTTGTAGGTGCCATTTTTCTACCTACCCTTCTTTCTTTTTTCCCATGTCTAACTTTGGAAGAAGTAAAAATCCATGCCATTGATCCATCCATGAAGTTTCTGCACTAGTATAAATATTTTCTTAGTGCATGGGGAGGAGCATCTGGTCTACTATCAAGATACTTGTGGGCAATCACATTATGAAATAGGGAATCTAAAAAGTCATATCAGACCACTCTTCTGTTAACTGGAAATAAATTGTTTGTGCAGTTGATATGATATTAAAAAAATAATTCTGTAGAAAATGTGAATCGCTCACGGTTTATAATGTTGGATTTTTAAAAATGGTTCTTTCCAGATTGAGAAGATTGAATGGGACACCTGGACAAGTGTACTAGGTCCTACTTGTGAAGGAATTTGGCCAATGCATAGTGATGTTACTGTTATCAATGCAGCTTCCCTTACCAAAGATAGCACTCTCTTAGCTACAGGGGATGACTTTGGCTTTGTAAAACTCTTCAAATATCCAGTAAAGGTAATATTTGAAATATTTTTCAAAAGTGCTAATGGAGGAATTATGTGAAGCAACATAAAATGGGAAATAGGAATGTTATAAATTTGGGATTGACCAGATAATCCAGAAAAAATCTTCCTGCTTGGTGGCTTGTATCTAAAGTATCTGTAAGTAAGAGCTACCAGTGTACATGCTCCAAGACAAAATTTAAGAAAAGGCAGCTTAACAGCCAGTAGCATTCTGGTAATGTATTTTCAGTAAGAGTTGAGAACCTGGGTGAATTCTTTTCCTTCACTCAGTAGTCAAAAAGGTGTGAGGGAAGTCTTGCGGAGTATCAAGAAATCAATTATTTGGCTTTTTGCAGGAATTCCTATGGCATTATGGAAATCTGCCGAGCAACCCAAATCCATTGAAGTGTTAATGCCTTGTGCATCCTTACTTTAAACTTAGCAATGGCACCCCTGACATTTCTTAGAAACAGAATGCATATCAGGAAGAGGAGATCACTGACGTGT